CTTATCAACTGACTCCCTGGTCAGGCTTTGATGGGTGCTAGATGAGAGTGAGCACAAGGGGCGAAGGCGCGCTTGTGTCTCATCTCAACAACAAAACAAAAACAAAAAACAAGCAGCAAAAACACAGCAGGTTCCGAGGGTCTCCGGAGTAATGGCCCCGAGTACCGGAATTTCGGGGTTCGGAACAATAAAACAACTACAGTCTCGCCTGCCAAATTATCTCCGCTACAACTCTGTGCTCATGTTCTCTGCTGAGTACCATCTCTTCTTTCTGTATTATGTCTACGGAAGGCTAGTTGCCGCAGTCGAACCTATGGAAAACTGTGCCTGACTACGTTGTAACAGTTTTCCTCGACACATGCACCATGTCAATTGCATTGGAAACACCGTGTCCGTTTGTCGGCACTCTGTTTTAGAGTATGTGTGACGACGTGATATATTCTCAGTGCACTGGAGCTGCTTTGCATAGTACTGCATCAATTACGTAAATACGTCCATCGGCGCCGCGCTGCAAGAAGCGCTGAAAAGTAGACCGAGCACAAGCAGGAAGGTCGTCGCCCACAGGTTAAACCCGCTGAAACTTCCAGTTGCGGTCATGAGCCTTCGGTTATGTCTCGCCACACGAAACAAGTGTCGACATACAGTTCACGGATTGTAGCCAGCCGCAGCCAAGGCATGGCTCCCCCTGCTGTCTCCGATTATTTGTGTCTCGTAGACTATACATGAGACGATTCCATGAACCCTAGTTCGCTACGCCGATTTCGTTACCCCCTGGAACACCGAGATTCGAATATGCCCCGCAACTTTCTGAAGAGGGCACACGGGGAACATCCTCTTGGTCTGACGGGACTTTGCTTGCTGCCCCTCCTGGTTTTCGGGTCCCTCTTTGGCCCCCGATCGATTCTGAAGAGGCTGCCTTCGACCGTCCTTATTCGGCCTCCCCTTCTTGGGCGCCTCTCCAGGATTTTGGACGCCTGTGCCTCCCGCGGACGAGTTGAGAAGATACCGGAGATACTCCCCAGCCTTGTCCTGGACGAACAGCGCTTGATGCAGGGGCACGGACCTCATTATATCTTCTACAAGTTCATTGCTCTTCGCCATCAGATGGGCGTAGACTCGACGGTTGTCGGAGGCGCCTCTATCCTGCGCGGCCCGCCCCGGTTCAGTAGGATGTATGCCATCCACCGCTTCATCGCATGTCGGTACCCAGTAGTTCTCGTCTCTGCCTTCGTCATGGCCGTCCCACCTTACGCCGTGGTCTGACGACGACAGCACCGATGAGATGCTCCACGGCGAATCGTTGCCATGTTCTCTTCGCCGCCAACGGTTGTGGACACATGCAACAACATATTCGCCTGATTGAGAGCGAAGTATCTGATTGAGAGCGAGAGCCAAAAAAATTGAAATTTCGGGTCCAGACGCCTCTTGCCATTTCTTGGCAAGTAGGGGACGGGCTATTCCAAGAAGCGGTGCAAATTGAAGGTCTCATCAGCAGCTTCGCGAGCATATGCGTGTCATCGTCATCGGATGCTGCAGCGAGGAGCTAGACAAGTTGCTAGATTTGCCCAGATTGGCTATTTCTGCTCAAACTGTTTCAGGGCGGTATCGCGTCGGGCGGTGGGCTCTGCTGTAGCTTCTGCTCCCCGCTGTAGCTCCACAACGAGAGACTCCCACAGGATGACCAGGGTAGCGGCTTGAAGCTACGGGCTAGCCCTTCAATTCAAGCTACACAGCAAGCTCCACCTCTCAGTGGTAGTCCGGCTACAGCGTATCGCGCAATCTCGCTCTCAATCAGATGCTACGCTCTCAATCAGGCGAATATGTTGTTATGCGCCGTTGAAGGTATGGATGAAAGCCATCTCGTCACTTTCGCCAGTTCTCCCGATGAGGTTGACAAGCACCGCAAAGTTGTGCCTACAAGGCAGTCCGCGCCGCAATAGCTGTATACAGAACATGAGTGGAAGTTGTGAGGTCTGAACACAACGAGGTGGCTATGTCTGTTTGCCGTCTACGTGTATGGAACGGCGACGACCAGTTCGATAGGTATATCCTCGATCAAATCTAAGAAGGCTGACAGCGACGTACGAGCCCACATAGTGCTGCCCACCGAAGCTTCGCCGACTTACTGGTCTCCCTCGAGATCGGTATCAGGTGGTGCGACCTGAAGAATGTTGAGCTTGAGGCGCAATAAGCGAATGTTGGCGAGGTCGTGCTCGTGGAGAGGCAGCGGGTCCCCATTCATTATTTTCCACACGACCTGAACTCACCAACTCGGCGTCATTCGACTGCACTTCGTCTACCTGCGCTCTGACCTCCTGCGACGGAATGAGGTTCGACAGTGCGAAGATGTGTTCGATGGGGTTTCAGTTCGACTGCATGGTGTCAGCTTGATGAATCACGGACACAACATCGCACGTATTTAACAGCGGCAACGATCTATATACCGAAATACGACTCACTTGCTGTTAGAACTGGCTAGCTCCACGGGCTGGGAGCTCCTGCTTCACGCGTCTGAAGAAATTCTCCACGTGGATATCCCGGAAGGCCACGCCAGCGCCAAGGGGAGGTGTCGCGAACCTGCATGCATAGCATGAAAAGCAGTGTTACATAATGTGTAGCGGAGGGAGAAATCCATAGACAATGTTGATCCGCCACCAATGTCTATAGCTGCAGGTAGAGACAAATGCGCGCGTCGTAGAACATATCGGAATATCCCATAAATCGAAGCACGCGAATACCACCTGCTGCCATGGGTGACAAAAACAACAAACAAACTCACCTCGCAGTCTCTATGGCAATCATCTTGCTGAGACGTTGCAGGCGATCCCAAAGAGCGCACAAAGAGAGCTTATTCTCGACGCCCGAGCGTTTTGCCACCTCGAACAAACCTTCGGTGCGCTGAGTAGCAACCACGCCTAGAGCGAGGACAGTGGGTCGGCAGCAGAACGCCCACTTGGTCTACTTCCTACGACGGTTCACGACGGTACCAGAGTGAAATAGTGAATATCGAGCGTGAAAACGCGGCATGGACGTTCTTGAAGACGTGCCACAAGCAGTGCAAATGCAGCGTCCCTAGCCAGCAAGAGGCTATTGCAGCCGTCATTGCAAGATCAGCGTCGGTCGAGATCACCTGTGGCAAAGGGTAGACGTACGTTGCCAACGGATGGGATAGGCCATGGACGGCACGGTTATGTCGACAGCCATCAGACAAGCTCTTCTGCGTCTGCAGTACATGCCTCAACAAATATGGACGTCTATTGGTTCCCTTGCCGAAGCGACCTCATCCTGTACATCATCCTGACCTCATTCTACGCCATGAATGAGTGTTGTGTACATCGTGACAGGGTCACCTTCGGCCTCCGTACACTCAGGATCCATTCGAACGTCTCCGTACACTCAGACCGCAGCAGGCCCCGCCCAAAAGTTCAGCTGCGATTCTCGTCGTCGACGCCCACGACGAACAGACGAGGGCACCCGTACCTACAGATAAACCGTCAGCCCGAGTTACATGACGCATTGATACTCTTTCTAGCAGCACCAAATCCCTCGACTAAAACGACGAGCGGGGGTTCTAAAGGGCAATTATGAGCAGCGTAGCGTAACGAGCGGTCCCACATGTGCTGTGGAGACTTGCAACCTGTCGAAGGTATTGTGTGCACCTGTTCGTGAACACCGTTGTATCGAGCTGTATGCAGCCCGCAAATCTTGCAATCTGTTCTTGCTGTTGGACGGTAGACCAAAACACTTCCGTCAATCGTCCCTGGTCAGCCAGCGTGTGATCGCAGTACATGCCAGGTTCGCTTTTCAGAGTCGCGAGGAAATCGGTTGCGTCCTCGGGTTTCGCGTGCAACACGTCGTTTACCATCTGCATTTCGTTGTACAATTTTTTGTACGAAAACGGCGTTACGAAAAGAAATGCAAGGGAACAAGAGGCTAAGTTCTTCCTGCCACGTAACACAATGACGGGAAGCACTGCAAGAAGACTTGTCTGTATCAGTAGGCAACGGTGTTACATGATGAGAAACGCCGAGAATGCAACAACTCTACTATTTCACTGCTATTTCTTGCGAATTCACATCTATCCTGAACGTCGTTGGACTCCCAACTGTAGCTACCCACTTTTCGTCTTCCCTTTTTGCACAAGAGGAGACCGTCCTGGTCTAGTTCCAGCAGCTTGATAATTTGATACGCCCCCCACAGTCCATGTCCGGATGTCGTCAATCCTCTCGTCGACAGTGTTTGGCGACAGGATGTGCTTGGCTGCACTGGACACCGCTCCCCGTGGGTCGTGGTTGTGTTGGCAGCGAGACTGGAGGGTTCGACGAAAGAACGGAGCAACTCAGTTCCAGACTCGTACGCTCAGATGTGTTCAGCATGTCAACACCAGTGCGATCAGATGTCCCAAGCATGTAGACTGCATGTACACCCTGTCGAGTAGTTCAACACAGCAACACGGGTAGATGGGGACTATATGCGCCTAAGTTGGTCAAGATGCCGTACATAGATAGGAGGCCCGAACTCACAGAGGATATATATGGATTACTCCCCCGCAGAGGCCAAGTGATGGTGATCTTGAAAGGGCACCCCACCTATACCATGTCAGAGTAAAAAGCGGAGATCGCGGGAGGAAAAGAGTAAAACTGTTATCAACCCCAAGGCAAATGTGCAACCCAGAACACGATGCGAAACCAGTACTTCGCACCAGGTGCGCGATCACCAGGTTATTAGCCACTACTGCGAGCGAGAGGGCATCCTCCCGGAGGAGCAGAGCGGTTTCCGCCCACACCGGTCGACGCTCGACATGCTGTTCGCCATCCAGCGGCTCCATGAGCTCGCGAGGAAGA